TACATGTTATATGCCTAGATATTGACTGAACAAATTGTGTGGAAAGAGACATTCAGGTTGGGGACTGGAGAAAATGAGTGCGCCGATCACTAGAGCATGTAACACACTATGAGCAAGGCTGAAAGGGAAGACAATTCATTCGGGCTTTGCTTAGGGGAGGCTGATCCTCCAAGGGAAGGTAGATGCCTAGAGAAATGGTTGCTGTTGAGTTGGCAATCATCAGAGAGATGGGCCTGTAGGAAAAGGTATGTCAAGTATCCATCTATCCGTGGGAAAGAAAGCAATGATGCTGGTAAAAACTGCCTGGTGAGCGTAGGCAGTGAGAGGGCGTAGGCCCCTTGACAGCCTAGTAAAGCCACTGCCCAAAAAACTGTAGCTTTGCAGCCGTTGTTTGATGTATGCGGTGGGTAACAGGGAAAGGAAAGGGCGGGGTAGGGCATAGGGAGGTTCTTTTCTCCCATAAGCACTTGTTCCTGGTATGTAATCCAAGTATGTATGTACAATGAGTATTTTGCACATTGGCGAAAGAATTCACCCTTTTAGACCAGAGTAGAGTAAAACAAGTTTATTTAAGTGTAACACAAAGAATGTGGAGGGTACAGAAGTGACATGACAACCTATATTTAGTGGTGGAGTTCCTAAATTGAGAGGCATCCTGCTCTTATTCAGTTAGGAATAGCCACTTTCCGTTACACAAGTGAGTGCATCTCTGTGGTATTGGGTTGTGGCCAATTTTTTCTTTATTTTCTATTTTTATTTTTTTATTCTGGGGACACTTGATAGACCAGGTTTGTAGTTGGGACCCATTCTCTTTCTGGTCCCTCCATCATGACCTCCCTTCCATGTGATGGATTTTCAAAAGTCACGAAATAATTTGAGTCCATTTGTGGCTACAAGCTTGCAGCTGGCCCTCTACATCCTCTGCCAGGAGGGAGCACTGCGTCCCCTCTGCCTTGTGGCTTTGCAAAGCTCATGGCTACTCATCCCCTAAGACAGTGGAGAGTTAGGTTGATTCAAATTTCTCTTTTTAGCTCACAAGGGGGAAAAAATCCATGACTTTTTGGATGCCCCTGTCTAAACGTTCACACTTGGGGGAAAATTGCTTTCTCCAGGAAGTAAGCAATAAATCTCTCTCACCAATGAAAGTCCCTTACATCCTGCAGCAATAGCATCAGCTGAAGGGAAAAGAGTGAAGCATTCCTTCTTTCCATGGATCCCCCTTTCTCTAAATACATGCCCCCATCAGACTGCAGAGAGTGCCATTAGGCAGGAATCTGAAACGTCTTTAGGACTTCTCCAGAAACACAATTGGCTGTGGTCAAATAGCTGTGGAAAACTGCCCAGGGTGAGAAAATATTTAGTCAGCACCACTTCTGGAGAGTCTCAGCTTGCGAAGCAGGTTGAAGGAGCAACTCGCGGAAAGTGTATGGTTGGTGCTCGGTGTGGAGAAGAGAGGAGCTGGTGAGACGGTTAGGAGGATTTCGTGAGTCACCATGTGCGGTATATTGCCTACACACATTAACAGTTGCAATTATTTGTTATGGAAATGATCTTGCTAGTGATTCAGATATAAATGGCCACTGATAGGCATGATTAGGCTGATTATGTTATGGACATTGTAGCAGCTGGCACAGTTTTGAAAGGCTAGCATAAATTAAGAAAGGCTGATTGAGGCAGTTACATTTAATTCTGGCAGTCATGCTAGCTTTCTTGACATCCTGTGTAATATAGTTTATTGTATTAATATGAATTCACCCAGGGTAGGAGTATCTCAGACTTAAGGAAAGAATATAAATAAAGACGAACATCTGGTGGAAGAGTCAAAGCAGATGTACAGACCGACGTACATCAAAGAAAAGCTTCTTATTGTCTCAGTGACCAGCTAGTGCGGCACGATATAAGCAGAGCACGGAGACAGAATTAATTGTCCGGACATGTCAGCTCATACAAGAAGGTATCCTTGAAGCTGTTATCATTTACAGTTACAAGGGTATTTATTGCTATTGTTTGGACTGACACAGGCTACTCATAAAAGGCACACTTACACACAGAAACACCAAACACTTGGTAGTATTTGGCCTGTTTATTGGAGAATGGTTTGCTGAAATGCGACAACGTTTAAATTTCTCACGCAGGATTGCACAAATTGGATAGCTCATTCTTCCCCAAACACAGCTTTCCTGTAGCAGCTGAGTGTCGCTGATCATGTCATCCTGAGCACAGAGCTGTCTGTGCAGGGCAGTGACGTGGTTTTACTCTGGAATAGTTCTGTCCGATGTCATGTGAGAGATTGTTTTTCAGGCCTGAGCTCTGTGAATCGTTCAGAATCACGACAACTTATTACTCAAAAGTCTCAGTGTCATCAATAACATATTGCAAAGCAGGACAGGACGGAGCACTGTGTATGTCATTTTCCCAACGATCTTACTGGGGCTTCTGTAGATTCTTCCTGCCTCAGATAGTTATAGTTCTATTAAACAACAATTCTGTAGTCACGGTGATTATTTCTCCTCCTTCTCCTTGTCGTCTAAATAATAGCAGAAGGTCAAAACTCTGAATTTTGGGTAAACTGAGAAATATCTACAAATGCAGTAAGCCTCCATTCTCAAGAAGAGAGACTCTTCATCCCCCAGTATGAATCCTGCAAAGCTCAGTGTTGTGGTTAAGCAGGAGTCTTTTTTTTTCTTTCCATTTTTTATTTTAATTTTTATTAATTACACTTTATTCACTTTGTATCCCCTCTCCCTCCTCCCCTCCCAATCCCATTCTCCTTCCCCCTTCTCCACACATGCCCCTCCCCAAGTCCACTGATATGGGAGGTCCTCCTCTCCTTCCTTCTGATCCTAGTCTATTAGATATCATCAGAAGTAGCTGCACTGTCTTCCTCTGTGGCCTGGTAAGGTTGCTCCCCCCTCAGGGGGAGGTGATCAAAGAGCAGGCCAATCAGTTCATGTCAGAGGCAGTCCCTGTTCCCACTACTATGGAATCCACTTGGACACTGAACTGCCATGGGCTACATCTGTGCAGGGGTTCTAGGTTACCTCCATGCATGGTCCTTGTTTGGAGTATCAGTCTCAGAAAAGACCCCTGTGCCCAGATTTTTTGGTTTTGTTGCTCTCCTTGTGGAGCTCCTGTCCCCTCCAGGTCTTGTTATTTTGTACTTCTTTCATGAAATTCCCTGCACTCAAGCAGGAGACCACGCCTCCTTCAGATGTCACCCTCTGACTAGGAAGGCAAGCAGAGGCCTTGGGAAATGAGAGCACAGTCATAGCCCAAGTCAGTCTGCTGAGTCTAAAGGCACAATGAACTACAGTGTGACCCCACGCAACACAGAAATACAATAAAATACTTTTACTGAAGGGACCTTGGACACGTAGCAAAGGGAAAATGCTTACATATTTAGAACACAGTTCAGAATCTCCCTTTCTTATATCTTCCCAGCAATCTCTAGACTGACTGTCCCTCTTAACGGTTCATTATCACTCCCCGCTTGTCACCCTCTTGTTACCTTCATGCCTTCCATTCCTCATGGTAGCATGTGCTTTTTTTTTTTTTTTTTTTTTCCTTTTCTCGGCTTTTCAGCTTTTGCTTCTTGGTGTATATTCTACCTTCCTGTTGATGGGATGAAACAAAAAAAAACTTAAGAAAGGAAGGTCTTATTTTAAGCTCACCGTCCATCTTTGCAGGGCAGTTGAGGCAGTGGGATTTTTGAAGAATCTGGTCACAGCATCTATAAGAAGCAGAGACCAGAGGCCTGCGAAGTTGGCTCAGCTAATAAGAGCACTTGCTGATCTTCTAGGGGACCAGAGTTCAGTTCCCAGCACCAACATGATGCCGATAATTCTGAACCAGCTGATAATTCTTGTTCCAGGAGATCTGACCTCCTCTTCTGACTCTTTGAACATCAAGCAGACACATGGTATAGATATACTTGGGCAAAATACTCATACATGTAAAATAAAAATAAATTTTAAAGAGGCCGAGAATGATGAAGGGATGCATGTATCCTAGTGTTCAGCTCACTTTCTCCGTTTTATATGGTCTAGAATCCTTTGTCCATCGAATGGTCACATTTACAATTAAAATAGGTCTTCTCATACCAATTAATATAATCAAGGTAATCCCCGTCTGGCACGCACGGAGGCCCATCTCTATGGTGGCTCTGGATTCTTTCAGGTTGACAACTGATGGTATGAGAACATGAGGCTCTGCTCAGCACAGTGAAGGCTCAGCTGTTCTGCTAAGCAGAGAGCAAGGGGAGGAAACTACTGTAAATGCAGAAGGCCTGTTGAGCTCATCCATAAGTGTAAATGTTATGTCTAAAACATTTGAAGACCTCAGTTACACAGTATTTCATATGAGAGCCACAGAACAGAAGCCTGGCAAGGCCCTGGAAGAAACAATTCTTTCACTTTCAGCCATAGCAACTGAGAAATATGCAGTGGGGGAGGGCAGGTATAAAGAAATGGAAAAAGCTTGGACTGGAAAGGAGAAGATACCTGAATGGTTTTGCAGGTGATGGGAATTTTAAGAGTATATCCAAAGCTTGCAGATATCATAAGTGAAAGAAGAGTTTAGAAACGTGTCTATGTGCAGTAGCAGAAAATAAATGTCTGTGGCATAAATATGATTGTGTTTGTGAAATGATACAAGTGTGGAATATATGGTATATCTTTTAAAATAATGTTAAGACCTCTTTCCCTCTGTGAATGAGAATGGTTTGCCAGATTTCTAAACTGTCATCTCCAGTGAGAAATTCAGTTTTCTTTCACAATCCATATGTGTACCTGCTGTGAATATACATGCACAAGAAAGATGTTTTCTATAAAATGTTACTTACTTTTTCAGTAATGTTTACTATCTTCCACCACGTAGAAAATAGCGCTAACCACAGGCCTAAGCAAATAGGTTTGTAGCTTCTAACTCGTGGTGACTGTCTGTGTACCAAAATGCTTTGGAGCAGGCTTCAAACAAGACAATCATAAAAAATACACACAGTGTCCCATGGCAATGGACAAAGAGACACTTGTTGGTGGTGGTGGTCTTATATCAGTCTAGGGCAGAGCAGACGGCAGTCCTATGTTCATCCTAGCCTGATGCCTAACTTGGTGGCCAAAGCTAGTTTTATGACCAGGACACATAAAAATCAAATCAAATCAAATCAAATCAAATCAAATCAAATCCAGGCAGTGCAGTTCTGGAGGAAGGCAAACAGAGATCTGCTTTCTACCATGTCATGTGACGCGGGCTGGAAATGACGCCCACAGACATACCCTCTACTCCACGGCTCTGTTGGGTCATAGATACACAGAGGACTGCCTATCACCATTGAGCACAGCATGGAAGAAGGAAGACAGACAGAGAGACCTGCAGACTGCCATGCCACCCACAGACCTTCTGACCAGTGCATGGTACAGGAAGGCTACGGACACATCGTGGCCAGAGGATGTCACTTGCCATCCATGCCCTGTAGTAGGAGCCACCACAATGTGTGGGTGTGTGGTGGACAGGTGGGAGAGAAAGAGGTATGGAGCAGCCAAGTCTGTGTCTGGGTCCATGGCTACACAGGGGCAGGGTATGTTGTGCTACTCGTCTGCTATGAGGTGGTGTGGTTGCAGAGTTTATGTTCTCCCCCCTCGCCACTTATGGTAGTTGGGAGAGCTGACCCTGTGGATATGAGAGCTGGAGAACTAGCCCTGCACCTTCACTGGCTGTAGCAGGGAGAGTGGGCCCTGAATTTCACCTGGATAACACAGTGGAGCTGGCCCTGATGTTGAAGAAACTGTGAGCCAGCCCCCAGGCTGGGAGAGTTGGTCCAGTACTCGCAGGCTGCAGGATTTGGGAGAATGGGTCCAGCACTTGGGAGAGTGGGTCCAGCACCTTGCCTTTGCAACACATTAGAGCTGGCCCTAGAGGTGTGGATGCAGATGAGCTGGCACAGAGGGCATGAGAGCAGGAGAGCCGACTCTGCCTCCTGTCAATGGCAGTATTGGGTGGCTAGGAGAAGCAGTACTGGAGAGCTCACCCTGGTGGTACAACCAGCTTGGCTGTAACCTAGGCCTAGGTTTAGGGCTTTTCGATGGGCCACCCCCAAACCTATATCATCTGCCAACAGTTGGGACTTGTGAACAGGCCAGTCCTGCTGATCCAACGCTGAAGGATTTCCATGACACAGGGTAACAAGGAGGAAGGCCAATGAGAATCCAATATTAATGGTGTCACAGAAGCCAGACATCTAGAAACAGATCAATGACTCATTGCAATGAGCATTTGCAAGTGAAGATGTGTGGAGAGAGGGATGTGTTGTGGGACACACTGCGACATACTACAACCTCCATGGTGAGATGTTTTCTATGCTTTGTTTTTGGGGTTCTCTCTCTCTCTGTGTTTGTGTGTGTTCTATTTGGGGGGAGGTTACAAGGATGAAGAGCAGATATGAGGTATGAGGGGTTGGGGAGATGGCTGGGACTGGGGTACATGATGTGAAACTCACAAAGAATCAATAAAATATAAAAAAATACAAAAAATATACACAATGACTTACTGGTACTCTAGACATGTAAGTTGGCCTGGTTAGGACAATAATTTTACTGTGAATAAAATGATGGAAGGAGGCCAATATGTAGAAAATCTTCAAAAGGAGCAAGAGAAATAACAACAAAACAAGACTCATTGCATGCACAAGACACATAGAGCCCGTTTTGACTCATGGTCTGTAGGAGGACTCTCTTGTGTCTGTATGGAAGCATCACCTGTCATTAAAAACAAAAAATCTATGGCTTTTTAAAAAGGGTAGGATGGAATGTGGGACATCCAACAGGCAGAAAGGATTCTGGGACAGAGCCAGGCACTGAAGATTTGCCTGAGAAGATGTGAGGAGGACAGATACATGGTACCTGAGCAGAGGTAAGCAGCCATGTGGCAGAATGTAGATTAGTATAAATGGGTTATTTTAAGTTATGAGCTAGTCAGAGGAGAGGCTAGCTATATGGCCTAGGTATTTATAAGCATATGTCTATGAGTTTCGGAGAACTTGGAGCTGGGAGGAAAAATCAACCAACAACAGTCAGCTGGTTGGTCACCTTTGCCGCAGGGAACAAAATGTATTTCAAAATGTTTTTAGCAAATGGCGTATCTTATGTGTTTCCATTTAAGCTTAACTTTCACTCTAGACCATCACATTTTCTCATCTACTTTCAGTGTCTTTTCCTTTTAGGCACATAAATAAACAGAACATTTTCTCAGCAACCGAAGAAATTTTATTTTTTTAATGAAATAAAAATGACTACATTAAGTTGGAGATGAGAAGCACTGATCTGTTTATCCAATGAAAACTCCTCCAGGGACATTTTTTTCTGTTCAATAGTATATTTGTATACTTACTGAGTGTATATAATTGCCATTGTTGAATTTTTATCAGTACATTCTTGCATAGTTCATGCTTGAAACTGAAATTTCAGTGTTTTATATTTTCTCCTTTAATATCAAAATGCCTTTTTCTTCTTTTAACGTTAAGTTATTACACACATGACATTCTTTAATTTTGCTTTCTTTTTCCATATACACACTCAGTCACTGGCATTTACTTTGTACAGAAATATATTTTAACTTGAAATAATTTCCACACCTACTTTGTTTAAAGAAGAGCTATGAAACATTAAATTTAACTTATGAATCCCTCTGTGTTCCAGTCCTCTGCACACACACACACACACACACACACACACACACACACACACACACATACACACACACACACACACACAGTATTAATGCTGTGTCTCTGTATGCCAATGACATTAGAGTTTCTGGCAAAACGCAATGTATAATCAATTATCACCTGTCACAAAATGGCTTTTAAGATCCAGCCAGCTATTTCAGAAATCATGCTTAGCTCCAGCAAAGAGGAAAAAAAAATTCCCTGAAAGCAGGATCGCCCTCAGACTTCAAGTCTTTATTCAGAGAAGTTTTGACAACTTTCAGCTTAGTCAATACAAAAGAGCATCTTGCAATTTACATCTAAGAAAATCTGTTTTAGCATTTTAAAACTAGTTTATTGATAGGATTGTTGCTTAGAAATGACAGTAAAGCCTTAATAATTTTTTTCATCTGTAGGGAGATAAGAGTCTTCCCAGGACCAGTTATTAGCCAATACTTTTTTTTTTATTTTTGCTGCAATGCTTATTAAAATTTTAAACTCACCCACTAAAAAGAACTAGAATTTGCCTCCTCTGATCCCTCTATGGATTTACTTTCTTTCTCCTTTCTTTATTTTTCTTGAAGTCCATCTGAAAAGATAAAACTCAGTCATTATCCTTCCAATCAGAGAAAAATATCAGAACTCAACCCAGATGTCATTGTACATTTTCAAAACTCACCATCTTATCCACACTAGGTATCCAGTAAATGCTATTAAAACATAAAAACTTTTCCTGAATGATATGAGTATTAGCAGATCGCTTAAAGTCAACCCCTCCATCCATTTGAAAAGGTTCAGTGACTTTCCTGATTATAGTTTTGCTGGGTGGACGCTTTGAAGATGACTGCATTTCTGCAGGTTCAATTCCTATGTTTGAACCTATCTTGGTACCCTTGTTCGTGAAGGCTGAATTAGATAATTTGATGATGATTTTCAACTTTAGCATCTTCAGTGTTTCTGGTTAATCTATGGCCTGCCTTTAAAAGAAGCTTTCCTAAGACTCTAGAGGGCAATGTTTGGAAGGATATAGTCAATCAGTTCAGAATAAAGAGATGCACTCAGCCCTTTAACTGACATAGCTGCCTTGGAGGGATTTGGGTTGGAGTGAGCATGGGGCAGAAAAGGGTTGTCTATATTGATGTCTATATCATCAGTTATAACTGGGAGTCTCATTTATGATATTCTTCATTTTAGTAAGACCCCAAGACATAAAGGCATTTGTCCCATAAACTGGCCACAGGTTACTGATTATGTAATTATAATCTGTATCTTGGGGTTCAAGGTAATAAAAGTATGTATTCATTATATATTTGCATATGAGTTTCTTATTTAAAAATACTCTAAAGCAATGAACAACATGGTTCAAACATCTGCATTTTAAATATATACATGCAGTTCTTTTCGTGGTGACTCACCATCCTAGGGACACAGTTACTTAACAGCAGACTTTAGATTCTACAGAAACTAGGCTTATGTAAGCTCTCTGATTTAGTTCATGTGAGGCTGTAGATTTGTACTTTCTTCTAAGAGATAAGAAGCAGGAAGGACTCTTCACTGGTAGACCAACAGACTGATATTTTCAAGTGGGTTTTAAGGATAGAAGTAAACACATTCACGCTTGGTAATGTTCCTAAGGAGAATAAGCATCCAGGGAAGTTACATTTTAGGAGGATACATGACCACAAATAACTGTATTTACACATACACCGCCTCTCTCTCCCTCTCTCTCCCTCTCTCTCCCTCTCTCTCTCTCTCTCTCGTGTGTGTGTGTGTGTTTGTGTTGTACATTGATGACATTCATAGTATATATCTACAAAAGATACCCTAGATCCATGTAACTATGTGGCGAAGAGGAAAAGCTCTGGGTGTCCTCTTTTTGTAAAATTCATTTTTAATTTATATATTCATTTTACATCTTGATCGTAGCTCCCTCCTCCCTCTTCTCCTGGTGCCACCGCTCCCACCCTCTTTCCCACCTCTTCTCCTCAGAAAATGGGAGCCCCTGCACCAACTCACCCCAGCACACCAAGTAACATCAATATTGAGTTCATACTCATCCACTGAGGCGAGGCAAGGCAGAGAGAAGTCTTTTAAATCTATTCTCTTAGTCTTCTGCTCCAACAGTTCTCCACCTCCACATGAGGTCATGCTCTGATCCTCTTGCTCTTCCTTACAGTCTTCAAGATTGTAAGGTTCATCCTTATAATCAAGACCTTGTTCACTCAACTCCTTTGTCTGTCTCCTCCTTTAAGATACCCAGCTATCAAAGCACGGGGCTGGTCTCACGTTGAAGTCAGGCCCATTGACTTCAGGGGCCTCTGCTGCTGCTTAGTATTTCTACTCTACTTCTTTTTACTCGTCATCCCCTCTCTCTTCTGGATGATTCTCATCTCTTACTTCCTCTACTAGCACCTCATCTAACTTCCCCCAGTTACTGCCATGGT